TTTTAGCAAATGGCTGCAATATAACACAGAGTGAAAAATTTAAGGGGGTCTGAATACTTTCCGTACCCACTGTATATGTATGTGTGTATATATATGTATATATATATATATATATATAAAAACATGCCAGGAAACCCTATTCTTGGCCACATGTCAATGTCCACTTTTTTTTTTGGGTAACATGTAAGGATCACTGTTAAGTCCAACTGCTTGTGCCAGCCAAGTTGCATGGCGTTTTGCCAGTCAGTCGGACTCAGTGGGTGTGTTCCGTCACAAAAGGGATGTCAATGCATACCCTCTGTTGCTTGCTAATGTCAGAGAGGGAGAGGTTTAACCACAGCACTTGTTCACACCAGCTTAATACAGTTTTAACACTACTCTCTTGTTTTTCTTGCATAGTGCTGCCATTTGCATATGCCAGACTCTTTCACATGCAGTAATTTCTCTATTTTAGATCAAATATGAAGGGGTTGAAAGAGAGCTGCTCAGTGACATGTTTCACAAAAAGGTTGCTATATTTGCTCTGTGTTTGGTAACACGAGTTGTTGTGTCTGAGTTTTTGTCTAACAAGGCTTGGTGTCTTTTCGGTGATACTGTCACTTTAAGCTGCTTATTTACAACCTTTGTATTTGGGTGAATACCAGTTGTTTTCATTACACCTTCAGGCAAATGTGTAACTACTACATTTATGGCTCGCTTTTGCTGCAAACGACGCTTCTCTTGGATATGTTTGTGTTCTGGCCCTTAATGTCCTGTTTTGCTACAGGTACCTTTCCTTTGTCCTTTGGAGGGGCACGTTTACCTGAAAATTCAGTGCGAGGTTGGCTCACGGATAGAGGAAAGAGGCTTCCTGGTGAGTCTTTATACTGAAAGAATGGTATTAGTAACAAAGTCATTATTAAACACTTTCTTGTTTTACTTGGCTTTATGTGATGCCAGTGAGGGTGTCTTTTATTTGCAGACTATGTTTGAGGATGTCAGTGGATTTGGAGCCTGGCACAGGAGGTGGTGTGTCCTTTCAGGATACTGCATCTCTTTTTGGACCTACCCTGATGATGAAAAACGAAAGGTAGGCCTACTATAATTTTGTTAATTTTTGAGATGCATTTAATTCATGTTAACAGGTTATTCTTCTTCTTTCCACAGAATCCAATTGGTCGCATTAACCTTGCCAACTGTACCAGTCGTAAAGTGGAGCCGGCAAACAGAGAGTTCTGTGCCAGGCCCAATACCTTTGAGCTCATTACTGTGAGACCACAAAGGGAGAATGACAGAGAGACCCTGGTCAGCCAGTGCAAGGACACACTGTGTGTTACAAAGTAAGACCCAATTAAAAATGTGAATTCATGTGCTTTGATGGAGAAGAGCCAGTCCTAAATCAGAACATCCCTTTGTAATATGCAGGAACTGGCTGAGTGCTGACACTAAGGATGAGAGGAATCTGTGGATGCAGAAGCTCAACCAGGTCTTGATAGACCTGCGCACATGGCAGCCAGATTCATGCTACAAACCCATGTAAGCCTGCTCTCATCGGGCACCAAGGGCCAAAAGTATCCTAGTCTGACTTTCACATTGACTGCGTATATGTCTGATTTGGAAGTGCAATATGGCATCACGGTTACACAGTGTTTACAGATACATTTTACAAGTTAGTAATTATAAATTTGACAAGTTAAAAGCCATAAATTAAGAGATTTCAATTAAAGGACAAAATGCTTTGCCTTACAAGGGTATTCAGGTATGTTTTTGATACTTTTGTCTGTGTAATTTAGCAAGGATTGCTTAAAGACTAATGAAAGTTTGTTTGCTTTGTTAGACTGTCAATTTGTTTATGTATATTTAAATGTCTTTTGCATGACTGCTGTCTGCTGAGATACCTGCTGTAGTCAGATTTCTCAGAATATTGGTTGAGCAAGACAGGAGGCAGTGTCTGAATCTTTAAATGATCCACACATTTAATGTCAGCACTTTGTGGTGACAAATTTCATTTTCATATTAAGTACTGCCAAAACCTATGATCATTTTTTATATTTGTATATTTGCTGTTATAGGGATAACTTCATTTTTTTTGCTCATCTGTCAGGAATCAGAAATGTATTTGAATAAGATTTTTGGGGGTTTGTTTGGATTGGAGTTATGAAAATTGAGATTTATATTTATATATCAGTTTCTTCTATGATCATTTTTTATATTTGTATATTTGCTGTTATAGGGATAACTTCATTTTTTTGCTCATCTGTCAGGAATCAGAAATGTATTTGAATAAGATTTTTGGGGGTTTGTTTGGATTGGAGTTATGAAAATTGAGATTTATATTTATATATCAGTTTCTCGAAGTACACAGTGGAGAGCTCACTTGGATAATGAAAGGAATGGGTTTTTTTTTCTCCTTTTTGACATTTATGGGCAGTGTTGGTCCTATCTGTGGTTTAAAAAGCTGCGGACAATTTAAAACGCAATTAGATCCTTCCCTGTCACCAAAGCTCTTTATGATGAGGGATATGTGCCTTCAAAAGAATACAACTGTTACAATATTCACCATAGAAATTTCCCTTTTTCATTGAAAAGAAAAAAAAAATTCTTTACTTGACCCGGATGACTTCACAATAACTGTGAGTTAAAATATTTATCATGCACATCCCCTATTTTCTAAGCTGTCTACACCATATATATATTCTTGTGAGTTTGCTTTATGTAACTTTTATATGAACATTTTATAACTTTTTAATGGTCCTAACTAACTTTAGATTAATTTATCTATATCCAAATGTGTTTGAATAAGTGACATTTACAAAAGCTTTTTTAATTCACACTAAATGTCATATTGCCTTGACTGAGACAAATTTCTTAACCTTGTCATACACCATACCAAAATGTAGCCCCCATCACTGTAGTAATCTTAAGGCACTTCAGTGTTATGGCTGTTTTGTGTGTTATTGTATCTTAAAACACTCCAAATGTGGCTTCCATGTATCACGCAGAGCTGCAGTTTAAATAAAACAAGATTTTGACAACATCACCAGTTTCTTACTGTTTTGTTTGTTTAACTGCCTCATATCTTACCAATGTTTAGTTAGACTAGAAATGTTTAGTATTACTACATTATTACTGTATGATAATGTAAAAATAAAGAACAGCAATTACATTTAGTTATTTAGCAGACACTTTTATCCAACACGACTTACAAATGAGGACAATAGAAGCAATCAAAATCAACCATCACAATTAGATGAACTACAATTAGAAATGCCTAGTAGTGTTGTAGTACTTGCCCATTTTTGAAGATCTTGGTCTCAGACTTGGAGGACTCGAGATTTTATTTCAAGACCTGTCAAGAACAAACCAGTAACGTTAATTACATTTTAGGATCATTTTTAAACTATGGTTTTTGTATTTCGTCTACGAATATAGTTCTAAACAAATCCATGGCAGATCTGCTGTGCGTTTCTGATCAACTCAATGCGGTTTCATTACAGAATGAGTCGTCTGCTTTGAATGAATTGGTTGAATAAAAATCTGTGACTCACTCATTGTGTGATTAATCACCTAGCCTACTGGCCGCCATCAAATATTTATGCAAAACTTTTATTTGAAGACCAGTCTCAAAAATATTTCTGCAGTTGTAATTGTACCAGTTCAGATGCAACTTATGCCTCTGTAGTGCAAAGATGAATTTTGTTCTTCATGATTTCATTTGATCGGTCCTATTATTGTAATTGTATTTATTAAATATAACACATTTATCAGGCAGTAAATGTGGATGAATTTGAGAAGTGATGGATTGGTCTTGGTCTTTCTCTGCATTAGTCTAGTCTTGGTCTCTCAACACCCTTTGCTCTTGGTCTGGACTTCAAGTGGTCTTGATTACAACACTAATGTCCAGTCAGCTAACTGAAATTAAAGTTTAAACTAAAGTATTTAAATCAGGGGTGCCCAAGCTCGGTCCTGGAGGGCCGGTGTCCTGCAGAGTTTAGCTCCAATCCCAATTAAACACAGCTGAGCCAGCTAATCAAGCTCTTACTAGACATACTAGAAACTTTGTAGCAGGTGTGTTGAGGCAAGTTGGAGCTAAACTCTGCAGGACACCGGCCCTCCAGGACCCAGTTTGGGCACCCCTGATTTAAATGAATAAAGCTAAAGAGAATTATAAAAATAAATGACAAAAGCAAGATACCAATTAAAAAATGATCCAAAATTGTAAATGAAAAATACTATTAAACTATTTGAAGAAAAGTACATAAATGCAACTGAACGACCGTCTGATAAAAGAAAAGTTCGTTAAGTTCATTTTAGGGTGACCACTACGGTGCTTTTAAATTATGATCTGTGCTTAATATAAAGGCGGAATAACAACCTTTGTACAGTCTGATGTGAATATTAATATGTCTTTTCAGATACGCATGGATATCTTCTTTTCCTTATCTAAACTTTCACATCTCTGTGATGTGCGATGTGTCATTTCAGGCCAAATTCCGGATATTAGACGATACTGAGGCGTTCGATTTTATCCAATGAGCTCGCGCTGTGGATAAACGGCGTGCCATTGGCCAATCAGATGCATGGCTTTGTGCTAGAAGGCGGGGCTTTGGATCCATACTCAGCAAAGGGAGGCGTTACCACTTCCTCTCCGAGTGAGTTTGCGGACGGAAAGTGTGTAGTGAGAGAAGTGTCCGTAGTTCGTTTACAGCTTGTAACCATGGCCCCCAGCACGCAAGCGGACGATACAGTCTCGGGTGTAAGGAAAGGTATTCGAGCCATTCTGCTCGGCCCGCCCGGTGCGGGGAAGGGGACGCAGGTGAGAGCTCATGCGAAGGGCCGCGTGGCTCACTCTGATTAAACTGTCCAACAGTAGCGGCATTGAGAGTACTGTGTTGTAAAGGGATAGTTCACCCCAAAACAACAACCTAGCCTCATGGTATCACAGACCTATATGGATAAATAGTTTTCAGTGAAATGATGTAGACAATATGCTGGAATGTTAAACGACAGCCTCGGTCACCATTCACTTTCATGATACACGTTTTGTGTTTAACTATTCATTTAACTGTACTAAACCAAATGTTATAGGCCTACAATTTAAACTGAGTGTAATTGTCTCTTTAACACCTGTGTCCTGTTGCCCTGGGCATTATCAGATGATGCTTTCTGATCCGATTATTCATTCAGTGCAATTATTATTTAATATCCATGTCACTCAGATCATTTGAGCTGATTAACATGACAGTTAACACGCGTGAATTGGTTGTCCTGTTGCCCTGGGCATTATCAGATGATGCTTTCTGATCCGATTATTCATTCAGTGCAATTGTGGAATTATTATTTAATATCCATGTCACTCAGATCATTTGAGCTGATTAACATGACAGTTAACACGCGTGAATTGGCGACCACTGGGAAAATTGTAGCCCTTTCTGTCCTGTTGGGTGATGGTGTAACTCAACAGACCATGAAGAACAGGCATATCAGCAGTACTGCTTGCTGATATTAAGCAATGTTTGCTGCACATTTTGAATGTCAGTAAAACAGTTCAAACTTGGCTTATGAATGTGGTTACGACAGAATAGTGATTGAGTTTTATGGTTCTGTTCATACAGACACTAGGATACAATATACTGTATCAAACATACAGTAAATAAAGTACTATTTTGAAATATTATTACAATTCTGAAGGACCATTTTCTATTTGAATATATTTTAAAATGTAATTTATTCCGGTGATTGTAAAGCTGAGTTTTCAGCAGCATTACTCCAGTCTTCAGTGTCACACGATCCTTCAGAAATCATTCTAATATGCCGATTTATTATCAATTTTGGAAACAGTTGTGCTGCTTAATATGTATATATTTTTTTATTACGGATTCTTTGAAAGAGTAAAAAAAAACAGCATTTATTTGCTGTTCAAGAAACATTTCTTATTATTAATGTTGAAAACGGCTCTAATATTTTAATGTGATAAATGTTTTTTTTTTCAAAATTATTTTATGAATAGAAATGCAGTGCTTTTTTTTTTTTAAATAGACCTTTTTGTAGCAGTGTAACAGTCTTTCCTCCCACATTTGATCAATGTCATTGCATACTTGCTGAAAAAGCTATGAATTTTATTTTATTTTTTTATATATTACAGATCTCAATTTAATGGTTGTTGTTGTTTTGTTTTTATTCAATTATTTCAAGACAAATGTTACCTGTAAATATTAAGATTATGTATTAATTGTTCCCATGAAAGGTTGTTAGATGAACAAGTGTTTGGCTTTCCTTATATTCTAAATGTTATTTTATGTAATGTATCTGATCATTATTTTTGATTGTTTCTGAGTTAATTCCATAAATGTTTCATTTCGGCCTCCACAGGCACCCAAGCTTGCAGGGAAGTACTGTGTGTGTCATTTAGCTACTGGGGACATGCTGAGGGCCATGGTGGTATCTGGCTCTGAGCTCGGTCAGCGGCTTAAGGAAACCATGGATGCCGGCAAACTGGTAAAATTAATAGATGTTCTACTTTTTATATATTTTAAAATTTGTTCCTCTCCCATGTGCATTTTCGGTTGGAGGGATAAAATCCTGAGTCTTTGTTTTGTCATCTTTCCTTAAGGTGAGTGATGAGATGGTGGTGGAGCTCATAGACAACAACCTGGGCACACCTGCATGCAAGAATGGATTCCTGCTGGACGGTTTCCCCCGCACTGTCAAGCAGGCAGAAATGGTGAGGACCTTTTCAATCTGTAAACAACTGACATTATAAGTAGGCGCAGAACTCTCTGAAATACTGAATTTAAAATGGGAGCCCAAGAATGCATCAGTCAGCCTGTGCCTCTCTTTCTTAATTCTAGCTGGATGGCCTCTTGGAGAAGCGTAGTGAGAAACTGGACTCTGTGGTTGAATTCTCAGTTGATGACTCTCTGCTAGTGCGCAGAATATGTGGGAGGTATGAAGATGGAGGGTCCTGTAATTTGGAGCTTAGTATTGTATCCCACCACTGCTAATGTGTTCTAATTGCTCGGTTTAATTGAATGAATGCGGAATATACTGAAAAGATGTCACTCATTTCAGGAACAAGAGAAGACATGTTTTCTAGGTAGGACATAATAGCTGTCAAACACTTTTCTTTCTGTTGTTTTTAATGGAGGAGCTGGCAGGAAAATTTTCCTTTTGGTGTTTGGATTGTATTTTAAAAAGGAAGTGTACCTCCTTACTTCCTCCATTTAGTAAGAATTGTAAAGCATGAAAATTGCTCTTGTTTAAATGTAAAAATCAGTAATGGACAAATACTTGATACACAAGCAATTAATACATAAATCAATTACTTGAGTAAAACTATAGACACCCTAATAATATATTACTTCTATGGAAGAATTTGTCCTCATTTTCAGTTTTACTCGAGTAAAAAAATTTTTGTGAACCATGTTTATTTATTCTAGCCTGTACTAGACAGATTTATAATAATAATAATAATAAAGATTTGTGCAGACATTTAATATTTATTTATCTGCAAATAAGCAAACCTTTTTTTTTTTCTTACCAAAACATATAACATGTATAAAAGCATTACATTTGAATATACTAAAATGTCCATTTAAGATAATGAGAATTCAAGTATGCAAACATGTAAAAGGACACCATATAATATTTAAAAAATGTGGAAATATGAAACTTAAATCGTTGGAAAATGCAATGTTCAGACATCCCATGGGGGAAGATGTTCACATTTTAAGAGGAACGCTATGTGAACATACTAGTTTCATACCATTTGAAACTACTACAGCAGGGGGAGGATGCATGGGTGTTATTAACATTATTTTGCCTTAAAAAGCCTATCCTGTACAGACGGTGACACAGAAATGCAGATATGTCCACATTCAAGCATTTTAATAAGCTTAAACAGCTTGCCATATTAGTTTCCAAATAACGAACTCTCGTGTCTGCAGTATCGATACTAAAAACTCACACTTTAAGTCATCAGTTGAGCACACATTTAAGCTCCCGGTTCTTGACTCATTTTGACCGGATTATTGAATCAGTGAGTTGTTGATTCGAGAACAGCTGCATTCGGATCAGTGAACCAATTCAACAGGAAAGAATTAGCTCAATCACAAATCCGACATCACTATTGCCTCTCAGAGCGGGTAGCGTTTTCTTCAGTTCGTGATCGTTAGTTGAAATGCAGTGGAGTAAAAAGTATGATTTTATACTTTCAAATGTAGTGAAGTAAAAATTTCTCACAATAAAAATACTCTGATAAAGCACAGATGCTTGAAAAATGGACTCAAGTACAGTAACTTTCCACCACTGAACATAATCCATTTCATTCCTCAGACTCATTCATCAGCCCAGCGGCCGGTCTTACCATGAAGAGTTCAACCCCCCCAAAGAGCCAATGAAGGATGATGTGAGAAACAAAAACTGTCTTATTCTAATTAACAGGACAGCTATAGAGGTTTGGTCTGATCCATATGTCCACAGGTGACCGGGGAGCCTCTTATTCGCCGTAGTGATGACAACGAGACCACCCTGCGCTCCCGACTAGAGTCCTATCATAAGCAGACGGCCCCTCTAGTGCAGTACTACAGTGCCCGCGGCCTGCACACTGCTGTTGATGCTTCTCAGTCCCCCGACCTCGTCTTTGCCTCCATCCTTGCTGCCTTCTCTGCTGCTACCTGTAAAGATCTTGTTTATTTTGTCTGAATCATCTCTACGTCCACTCTTTCCTTGTATGCATTATAAACCCTATTTGATTCCTTTTATGTTTTGTACTTGTCTTTGTGAGTTTGTCTTTAGACATGGTTTTGATTCATCTGCTGCCTATTGTACAATGGGTAACGGAGCTCTTTTGACAAAAAAGCCTATGAAATATTAAACACTGAATGTAGAACCCAAGCTAATTGTAATGTCTTATTAAGATCATATACAAGTTTTAATTACCAACTGATTTGGGTATAAGCATCAATATAATGAAGGCATGTTTTTTTAACTAACCGGACACCTGTAAAAAGGTATGGTTTTGTCATTTGCACTATTTACACAGTGAAATGTGATCATTCTTAAGACGATCTGGTAGATCTTGTAGTAATGCATGATATCCAGTAGAGGTCATGTGAATGCTTGGTTTAATTGCTGAATGGAAGAAGCTACTCTATTAATTGCTTTATTAGCTAATATTTATTAATTCATGTTCTGAGTTGAGTCATGAATTTACTTGTGGACTTTTTTTTTTTTTCTGCAGCGGTATGAAATCCAGTTTCTCCCATCCAGGTGGATTCAGATGTGAAAACAATGGATGGGGGGAAAGGGGGGAGCTGGAAGTGACTCATATGGTTTTGTCATTTGCACTATTTACACAGTGAAATGTGATCATTCTTAAGACGATCTGGTAGATCTTGTAGTAATGCATGATATCCAGTAGAGGTCATGTGAATGCTTGGTTTAATTGTTGAATGGAAGAAGCTACTCTATTAATTGCTTTATTAGCTCATATTTATTAATTCATGTTCTGAGTTGAGTCATGAATTTACTTGTGGACTTTTTTTTTTTTCTGCAGCGGTATGAAATCCAGTTTCTCCCATCCAGGTGGATTCAGATGTGAAAACAATGGATGGGGGGAAAGGGGGGAGCTGGAAGTGACTCACATGTTTATTTTGATCATTCCATGTAGTGAATGTGTTTTGTAATGAACACAGATTTAAATGAAACCCAGTTGATTACCTCCAATAAACATGGAAGACTATTTTCTACTACCTTACATGAAGAGGTTGATTCTTTGTGTTTCTGTATTACTGTCCCAGTGCCCAGATTTTACATCCACTTCTCAGTTTGGTGTTACTTTGAAGACACTTTCACAAGTTTGTGACACAGAAGTACAATGAAAAAAGGGAAGCAGCGACTTATTTCATCAGCCGACCAGTGTATGACGTGCATTACAGGGTTCCCCTGGTCATAGACAACCTAGACATATCAGGGAATTTTGAAATGTTTTTTTTTTTCAAATCTAGAAAAGTCAAGGAAATTCCGATAAACATTTGTTTTCTAGTTAAGCTCTGATTTAAAAATGTTTAATCAATATTGCTAGATAGTGCTTTTTAGCAGTTTGTGTGTGTGTACTGGTTTATATATCCTGGTGGGGACTTAAACCTGAATACACACAGACTCATGGGGACTCATGTCACGGTGGGGTCCTAAATTGTGGCCCCTACGGTTACAAAAGCTTATAAATCATACAGAATGAAGTTTTTTGAAAATCTAAAAATGCAGAAAGTTTCCTGTAAGGGGTAGGTTTAGATGTAGGGTTGGTGTTGTGGGCAATAGAACATACGGTCTGTACAGTAGAAAAACCATTACGCCTATGGAGA